TGAAAAGTAGACTGGAGCCAGATCATGAAAGGCTTGAAAAATGGAAAAGCTAGCTTTGTATTTGATCTTGGCAGCAATGGGGAGCCACCGAAGCATCCTGAGCAGAAGGCGCCCTAACTGGATCTGTGATTGAGGCACACACCAATTTCGCATCTCTATGGAAGGTAGATGGGAGAAGAGAGTCTGGAGACGTTGCCACCTGAGAGGGGATGAGGGCCTGGCACGAGGTGGGAGTTTAACACAGAACAAATCTATCCTCTTTCCTACTAAACAGTCTCAAATCTCTGAACACCACTATTACGTCCCCTTCAAGCTCTCTCCTCCAGGGGTCTCCACTGCTCCTCATCTTCCACAATCACAAGTGATCCTGGCCCCCAACACTCCCCAGCTCCAAACACTCTCAAGCTGTCAGAGTCCCATGCATGAGACTCATGTCCTCACCTTCTCTTTCTGTGGTTACCATACACATCTTCTCACCCAGCATTGCCACGTGCTAGCAACCACATCCACACCATGCTTGTGACCCACATCCACCAATCCTGCATGTCATGTGCATGGGAACGGCTGTCAAGTTAGGTATCCTTCATTACTGAAGTACATAAATGGGGAGTCATTAATTAGCTCAGCCATGTTGTCTCCAGCCCCTTCTTTCTGAATTCTAAGCCTGACCTCACACAGTAGCTAGCTCTCCAGGCTTTGTCTCATTGCAAAGCTGCCGACCCATCCAAAGCACTGGTAAAGAGGGCAAATCATCACTCACTGTTAACAAGAGGTTTGAGAAGCACCTCCTCACAACAAACCTATAAAGCTGAGTACTTTTTAATCCCCATTTTACAGATCAGAAAACCAAGATTCAAAGTGACTTTGCCAGAATCATACAACTAGGAAGTGCTTAAGACCAAGGCTCAAACCCAGGTCTTGACTCCAAATCCAGGGTTCTTTCTTCTCTGCTACTGCTTCTCTCTCCAGGACAAAACCGATCCATTAATAGCTCCAACTTGGTAAGACAAACAGACCCCCAGAGTGACACAATTCAGCCTCTTCACGGCTCCAAAAGCTAAGTCTGGAACAAGCGCCCCTCAGCCCACTCACTTCATTTCCTCTAGTGCACCCTGCGGCCCTTCTCGTCTTGTCCTTCCAGGATTTATCCCTCTAGACCTGGGACCCCTCTGGCTGCCTCTTCCTTAATCCCCCAACGACCTTCTTCTGTAAGAAACAAAGGTCAGTCTAGATGGGGGCAGGTGAACACTGGTGCCAGTGTCTGGGCCTCTTTATTCTCTCCCCACTTCAGAGCCCAGAGCATGTAAGAGCAATCTAAAGAGCACTGTCCTCCGGGTCCCACAAGGTCCTCCCAGCACACACACTGCTTGTCTAACTTTAGGCAAGGTCACTTCTCAGGCTCAGTTTCCTTGCTTGTAAAATGGGGACATTATTTATGCAACTGCCATCCTAGGGTGATAGGAAAGGACTCTCTAAGTAGGATTTCCAGCATCTCAGATATTTGAGCAATTAATAACAACATTTCTATAGCATCTATATGCCAGGTCCTGTGCCACGTGCTTTAGAAACATGATCTCATTTGACATGACAATTACTTCCTTAGGCCCTGACAACAGTCAACTGGGGATCAATCCATGCCCCTTCCCAGACATATGTTCCTACAAACCCTTCCTCAGAGGTGGAAGGGGTCGTGGGTCACCCACCCAATCCCAGCAGAATGTTGAACAAGAACTCCTCCCACATCCCCACACAAGAGTAGCTAGCCAGTCTGAAGACCTAAGTAAGAGAAGTGGCCCATTGCCCTGTTGGGGCCTTTGCACCCCTCCTTCACCTCCAGCTCCCCTCAAAGCCCAGCTCAGCTACCAACTGCCCCCTCCTCTCAAACCCCAGGCCTCACTCAGACTGCCCAGGAGTCCCACCCACATTACCCCAGATACCAGTTGGGTGTAACCTGTGATTTCATGGTGTTTACAGGAAACTCCCTCTAGAGCTTCTATGACAGGTTAAGCAAGAGCAGAGTCACCTAGTCAGGATGTGACAGAGGACAGAACTAATCTGTCTACAATATCTGGCTCTCAATCCACAAATGTCCAGCTGCAGCTCACCTTGTAATTACTCTATGTAATGCTCTGTAGAGCATAGGGGCCACTTACTAGCTGGGTGACCCCGGACAAGTCATTTAAGTCCTGTGTGCCTCAGTTCCTCATCTGTAAAATGGGGACACACTGGAGAAGGTCATGGCAAACACTCCAGTGTCTTTGCCAAGAAAAGCAGAGTTGGACATGACTGAACACCACTACCACCACCTATCTATTTATTTATGCTGTTTCCCCCTCAGGAAAATGCTCCTTGAGGATTGCCTGCTAATTGATCACAACAAAGTGAAAATCATTTCTGTGCTCTGGGGCCAAACAGAGCCGCCTCCCTCCCACATTCCAATTCTTCTATACCCTGCCCACCCACCCCCCTCTCTTTTCTGCTTGCTCCACACATGCTCAGAGACCTTCCAACCAATGGAGGATGGAATGGAGCCTGGACCATTCACAGTGGAGAGAACACTGGCCCTGGAATCAGTCAGACATTTATTAAGCTAAGTGCCAGGCACCACGCTAAGTACTGGGGATACAAAGAGGGCCAAGTCACTGCCCTCCGGGGCTCCCAATCTAAAGGGGAGACAATGAGCACATAAACATGCATAGACAAGCTCTACACCGGACAAGTTGGACACAACTCAAAGAGCGAAGGCACCAGAATGCAGAAGGGTGGGGAAGGGCTTCTGGGAGATGGGACTCACAGGGAGCCAGGGAAGAGGAGGCCCAGCGTTCCAGGGATGGGGGACAGCCAGAGGAAAAGGGCTGGAGCTGAGAGATGGACCAGCCAGGAGGCAGTGTTAGCAGATCAAAGAGCAGGTGCCAGGGAAGATGGCAGAAGAAGACTGGGAAGGCAGGAGGGGACTTGGTCATAAAGGGCTTCGATGCCAAACAGAGCATTCTGCATCTGATCATGAAGATCATAGGGAGCTACTGGGGAGGCTACTGAGTCAGAGGCCTTGGGTTCAAATCCTGTCCGTGACATTTGGGCAAGTCAAACCTGGCCTCAGTTTCCTCACCTATAAATAAATGGCCTCTGATGTCCCTTTTAACTCTAAATCTACGAGCCGACCATCCCCTTCCACTCCACTGAACACTCTCTAGGTTAACTCCCTATCAGCTGTGGGGCCACACCTGAACACAGTGTTCCAGAAGTCATCTGCCCTGCTCAGCTGCCATGAGCAGGCCATCCATTCCTTCCTCCAAGCTACTGATAAACTACAAACTGGCCCCAGGCTGCCTATCTGCAGAAAGAGGCTGGGCTAGATGAGCTCATTCTCTGCCAGCGCTAAAATTATGAGTCCAGAATTTCCCACATCTTCTTCTGCCTTTGCTCTGACAGAGGGCTATGCCTTGGGCCTTCCATGCCCTCCAGAGCCTGCTCAGAAGGGAGGAAGTTAAAGAGAGACCTTCAACAAGGGGGGTGGGTGAGGGAAGGCTACAGGGGCCAAAGAAAGAAAGGGTTGGGGCAGGGGAAGGGCAGGCGGGGTAAGGCAGGTGTCTCCTGCTCCAGCAGGCCTGGGAGAAGGTGGAAGGGAACAGTCTTCAGTGAGGAAGGTCTGCAGATGGAGGGAGGGTGACAGAAGCCTAGGAGAAAATGAAGGAGGACAGGCCTATAGCTCCTTACTGTGAGGGAGGGAGCAGAGATGAGGGGGAGGGCATGGAGATGCTTGGGGAAAAGGGTCACAGCAGCAGCAGAGAACACTGATGGGGGAATCACAAGAATAAGGAGGGAACGAGGATGAGAGAGTGGGCTGAAGCCTGCAAAGGTGAGGGGCTGAGCAGGACAGGGGTGGGGCAGAGTATACACACCATGCTATGGGGAAAGGGGACAAGGACGTGGTGGAAGAAACAGAAGCCCCAAAGTGTGTATGTGGTGGAGGAAGGGTTCACAGGGATCTATAAGGACACAGCAAGGTCTACAGTCTCAAATGAGCGGGCATCACAGGGGGCCTAGGAAGACATGAGGGGTGGGTGGAGACTACTGTAGCCTCATACTGGGAGGGGGGGAGGGAGTTCTGCAGCCCTATATGGGGAGTCACAGGGAGTGGCTTTTCTGCAGCCCCATATGGGAACCACAGGATCTAAGATGACATGGGGGGAGGGGAGAGGAGAGAGTCCCTGAAGCCCTACGTGGGAAGTGACAGTCTGTGTGTGTGTGTGGGGGAAATGACCCTGAGCCCTTCGTGTGGGGTAGGGGATGACAGAGAGAGGGGGAGAAGTCCTGCAGCACCCTGTAGCGGAGACCACACAGGCATCTTGCAGCCCTACATCGAGGGTAACAGGGAGTGGGGGCGGAGTCCTGCAGCCCATGTGAGGAGGGGTTACACCAGAAGCCTGCAGCCCTATACAAGGTAGTGGGAGGGGGGGTTGGGTCTGTTGCCCTATACAGAGATCACAGGGAGGAAGGGGTCTGCATTCTCATGTCGGGGGGGTCACAAGGAGGGGAGTCTCTAGTCCTGTGGGGAGGGTCACATATCGGGGGGTCTGCAGTTCTGTGGGCAGGAGGGGTCACGAGTGGGGGGGGTCCTGCAGTTCTGTGGGCACGAGAGTCACGAGTGGGGGGGTCTGCAGTTCTGTGGGCGGGGGGATCACAAGTCAGGGGAGTCTGCAGTGCTGTGGGGGAGGGGTCACACGGAGGCGGGGTTTGCAGTCCCATGGGGAGGCTTGCGGGGGGGTGGTCACGCGGGGGGTCTGCAGTCCCTTGGGGGGGATTTCCGGGGGGTCTGCAGTCTCATGTCAGGGGGGTCACCAGTCCCATGTGGGGGTTTGAAGTCCCATATGGAGGCGTTCCAAAGAGAGGGGGAGGGGAGCTGCAGCAGCCCACGGGGGAGGTCACGGGGCCCCGAGGGCTCGGGCAGAGAAGAAGTGGCAGGGTCGGGGTTGTCCGGCGTTAGCTCGCCCACTCACCTGGGGAGCCCCACACCATCCCCCGGCCCTGGCACTGGATCCGCAGCGACCGCACTCTGGCTCTCCGGCCTCCGGCTCCGGCCCCTCAGGCAGCGGCAGCAGCAAAGGCGGAAGCGGAAGCGACGGGCGGGGCCAGAGAGACTACCCGCCTCTGATTGGCTGACGGCTTCCTAGGTCCGCCCCCTCCCCCTCCACACGCTTTTTTTTTTTAAACAAGAACTTTATGCGTTCCCCTAGTGCGTCCACTCACACACCTGGGGTGGGGGGAGCCAAAAGCGAGGCCGGGAAAGAGCCCCGGGCTTGAGGCCAGCGAGCTGAGGTTCGAATCCCGCCTCTGCCCCTTCCGTGTCACTTTGGTTATACTTCGTGGCCCTGGCGAAGGAGGACACGCCCTCGGGACTTCGCTTCCTGTGATGCTTCGGGGGCACTGCTCAAAAGGAGACACCCTCTGAACTCCATTCCCCAGGAGGCTGTGCAGGTCGGCGTGGTGATGTCATCAGGGAAGGCTCTGATTGGTGGGCAGGGTTCTGAGAGGCGGGAAGATTCAAACTCCGGAGCGGCGGAGAGCGGAGCTGGGAGCAGGGCTGCCACTGTCTCTATCCCGAGCGCCCGCTGCGGGTCGTGGAGGGCGTCTAGGGTCCCAACTCTAGAGCTTAAAGCGGGGTTCTAGCCCTCAGGACCAGACATTTAGAGGAGAGGGAAGGCTCCAAATCCAGCTCGCTCTCCGAGGCACCGTACTGCGGAGACTAAGAACGGAAGAGGACCCCAGAAGCCATCTAGAGGGAATTCCTTCACTTTATAGATGAGGAAACTGAAGCAAACGGGGCAAAGTGACTTGCCCAGGGTCATACAGCTAGAAAGTGTCTGAGGCTGGATTTGAACTCAGCTCTTCCTGACTCCAGGCACTCCACTGTGCCACCCAGCTGCCCATATAAATATTGGTCAAGGTTCTTCCTCTCCTGGTGAAATCACAGGGGCAGACCCTATCCCATTCTGTCTCAAACATTTTTGCTAGGGTTATGTGTGGTTTGTAACAGATACATTGAAATGGGGACCTGTTTGATTACCCTGCCCCCCCCAACTTAGACACAGAAAAGGGTTCCAGAGTTGTTTTGTTTTTAACTGACATTTATGTAACCTTGGAAGCACTGAAAGCACTTTACATATGTTTGAGCCTCATGACAGCCTATGAAGATGAGGGGAATTGCCAGGCTGGTCACTTTCCTCTGGACGCTCTCCAGTCGCTTTACCTGTCTGGGAGGTTGTAGTTTGGGGAATGGGTAGTGAGAGTGTTCACCGAATGGTGGTTCTATATCTAGCACTCTCTGAAATAAATGTTTTTTGCAGTTCTGATGGCATGGTATGATTCAATCTAGCTGCTGTATGTGGGGCAAGCTTCAAAGGCAAAAATACCAAGGCTCATGAGCAGTTGTTGCCTTAGAAAATAAACCTGAATGCCGTGTTGGGCGGTTGCTTTAGGTAGACTAAAAACCGTGCATCCGTGGGAACAGGGCACATGATGATAATGGCGATCACTAAACACTGGTGTCCCTAATAACAGCTCACACTGGCACAACATCTCCATGCTGAAAAGGACCTCAGAGACCACCTCCTTTGACCTGACCAAGAAGGGCCTGTACAGCTCCTTCTGCTTGATGGAGGAGGTGACTGAGGATGGAAGGAAGATAAGGATACTGAAGTCTGGAGATGACAGCATGCATTTTAGCCTTTGAACTTCTCCAAGGCAGAGCAGGCCCCAGTATTCTGAGGGGGCCCCTTCAATTTGGAGCAGTTCTCATGGCAAGAGTTTGTTCTTATGTGAAGGTAATCTTTGTTCTTTGTGACCCCCCTCCCACCCTCACACACCCTTCTGGATCAGCGCTCTGGGGCCAAGCAAAACAATCCTGATCCCTCTTCCCCATGATAGCTCCAATACTTGGAAACAATCATCATGACTCCCTGAAGGCTTGCCAATACCCCGTACCCCCATTTCCTTCAATTAATGCTATCATGAGTTTAAGGACCTTCACCATCCTAGTTATCCTGCTCTGGACACTGTCCAGCTTTATGCTCCTACTATGGGTAAGACACTATGTTAAAATGTCTTTCAGGGAATAAAAAAATGACAATCTTTGCTTTTAGGGAGTTTATTATCTAGTGGAGTGGGGCTAGTGATACGTGAATATAGATAAATATAATCTAAGGTAGGGAGCGATTAGGGCAAAATAGAGAGCCAGGCAAAGTGCTTCAGGAAAATTTGAGAAGGGAAATGATTGTTGATGACATTAATTTTCTTCCCCTTAATAGAGAAATGGCAAAATATGGGTGTAGAAGGCTGCATATACTGTCAGACTGGGTCTGTTTTGCTTAATTATGTCTTTGTTACAGGGAAGGAGGGTTGTTATAGAGTACAGTCAAACATCAAAAATTTTTAAAGGAAAAATTTGAAGAGAGAAAGAACATGGCACGATGCCCAGGGTTAGACAGCTAGTATCTGAAATAGGCTCTGAGCCCTTGTCTCTAAAACGTCAGGGTAGAAAGAACACTGGCTCTGGAGTCGAAGGCTCTGGATTTAAATTCTACCTCTCTGGCTTGCTGACCCGTGGCACTTAATATCTCTGGGCCTCATCTGTAAGATGAGCAGATTCAACCAAGTGGCCTCTAACGTATCTTCCAGTTTTCTATCCTCTATGTCATGTTGTCATAGTAATAACAACAGTTCTAGAGTAAATCACTTTGCATCATCTCTATTATTGGGGGTGGGGAGAGACTGGCCAATGAGATCCCAGTCTTTCGAGCAGGCATGATATGCTATGGCAACTGGCAATCCACATGGAAACTTGGCGAGTGTCCTTCTGGAAAGGAATGACCAAGCGAATCCCTCCTTGATTCAGAGCAGACGCAGGTGACTGTTTCCTGTCATCTCTCTCTCTTTCCTAGTCCTGAGCAAGGCAAAAAGTGGTAGCCACCTCCAGGTTTGGGGAAAGGTCTCGGGCCCACTCTTTCAGCTGACTGCCACTGGGCTGTGAATGGATGGCACTGCTCTTCTCTTCTCTGTGTCGTGTTCATTCCTTCCCGATCTTAGGTGAGGGAGTACCAGGGGCAGAATGGGCCAGATTACAATCTCACGAGCTTTGAAAGGTCAAAAGACTAAATGAAGTCCGTAATGGAGCCTGCTGGCAGCTGAGTCTGCTGACTAGTCACATCTGAGTAATGACCTGCTTGACCCAGCCCGGGAGGGGATCAATTAATCCACCAACTTAGATATCAGCAAGGAAGAAAACAACTCATCCATCTATTCTGCCACGGCCAAAACCCATTTTAAGTTTGACCTTACTCTCCCCAGGGACCCCTGTGGTAAAAGAAAGTGGGCTCCTTATTTCTGAAGTTGCTGGACTTCAGTTTTTGCTATGCCTTCTCTGTAACTATCCCTTTATAAAAACTACTTGATGTCAGTTGGTTAACTGATACTGAGGAGAGATCAACTGGGTGAATGATATTGGGAGGAACACACTGATGGGGGCTCATGCGCAACAGTTCTGATAAGCCCTCTATTCCTCATTTAGAACCCTCAGGAGAGATACAAAGTAGCCCCCTTCTGGAGCAAGCATAAGTTGGGATAGGAGTTCGTGGGCCATTTTTTTATTGGAGCCTCATTGTAATCCTGAGAGGCAGGTGCTATATTATCTCCATTTTGCAGATGAGGAAACTGAGGCACAGGAAAGTGAATCGACCTGTCTAGGGTCACAGTGGGCACGTGCCTGAGGCAGGACTTGAGTCAAGTATTTCTGTCTTATGTCCATCCCTCTTTCTGTAAGAGAGCAAAGGATTTCTTTGGTGAGAGGAAAGTCCAGTTAAACATGAAATTCTGAAGACCTTAGTGTCCCCAGCAGGAAAACATTGGTCTTCCTGAAATAAAAACAAAATATCCACTAGGTCCTTCTTTTAGTGTGACAGGGCATCTACATTGTAAATAGACGTTACATGCCTTGGAGGGCTGAGTGAGCTGCAGAACATGAGGCAGTTTAGGGAGGAGGACAGGACAATGACTTGTTGGTTCCATCATCATCAGCATAGTTCTGAACTTGTGCCAGGATAGGGCTTAGCTGGTCTCAGAGCTGAAAAGGCCCAATCTGGACTCAAAGTAGAGCAATGCCTACTCCTATTATCCTGTTATCTATTAAACTAGGCTTAGCTAAGTAGTACAGCCCCTTAGGCAAAAATAACGTGGGGTGTAATCAGATTCATTAATCAATCAGTGGAGGTTTGCGGGGGTGCAGGGAGGACTAGCACCTCTGGTATGAAGGCTTGCTGAGCCCTTTCCAGGGCTGCTCCCCCACCTTGGGTGTCCACTTGGGACTCAACTCTCACCTGTGTCTCCAAGAGGCTGTAGCATGCACAGCGGCCACAGCGCAGTAAACTGGCTGGGCAGACAGGCTAAAGAGGGGCCTTAAATCCATTGGTGTGTTAGGGGGGTGTCTACCCCCGGCATGTGAAGACCTCCCCCGGGGGCATGGGTGGATGAGAACAATTTGTTCCAGTGGCCATCGTGGCAGCGGACTCGGGTGCTGCGGAATGCCTAGAGCTCGGTCAGACGTTGAGGATGCCAAGGTCCTCTGCTGCATCTCGGGCCATCGCCAGGCGTCTTGACTTTTGTCTTACCACTGGGCTTCCGTGGCCCAGAAAGAGAGTGAGGCTGATAATGTGGCGCACCTCTGCCTCACTTAAATCCAATTCACTCTCTAGTCAAGACATCGTGATGTCACTGGTTCTCCTCAAAAACGTTCAAACATGGACAGAGAAGGACCTGAGTTCAAACCCGGCCTCAGACGTACAACACTTATCTGCCGTGCGATCCTGGGTAAGTCACTCAACCCCATTGCCTAGCCCCCCCCCATGGACAAACGACAGCAGTAAACAATCAATCGATCAACAAGTGTTTACTGTGCACCTACCATGTGACAACTACTGTGCTAGAGTTGGAGACCGACAGTGCTTACTGTCATTGCATTTGCATTCTCAAGGGCGAGACATGCACGTACATATGTGCGTAGGTACATATATATATATATATACATATATATATGTATATATATATATGCATGTGTGCGTAAGTACAAATAT